CGGGGCCGCTAGGGTAATACTTGGACGCTATTGAGGCATAAGTGGATTGGCATTTTGGGGTAGCTGAGTGTTCTGACTGATAGTGAGTGGTTGCAGTTGCTTTATGTGCGGTCTTGTTCTTAGGAATAACAGCAGCATCCGACGTGCCTTCGTTTTTTGGAGGGGCAGTGTATGGTGTTTTAGGATTAGTGCAGTGACAAGAACTGTAGCTGCAGTGGGTAAATAGGCTATGTTGATCAGTTTGTGTTCCATTGAAGATTCGATGCTGGATAGCAGTCCTGTCATGAATGATCCTAATCTTTTTAAATGTTCGAATACGCCTCAGTAATGACTGACCATTGAGGAGGTGATTAGCTTCACTGGTACTACCAAACTGAAATAGAATGGGACAAGAGGCTTTAGTGTATACTTTACGTAATATTCTTGTTACGCACCAAGATTGCGACAATCCACATTCTTGTAGTACAGTATTTTTAGCAATCTTTATGTTCGTACTATCAGGTACATTATACACAATGACATTCTGTATACACTGGAGTCTTTTCAACACTTCAGTTGATATGTAGTCATTTACTTTTTCAGAAGTTTTTATAATTTCCAGATCAAGATTTTCTGGAACACTGATTAAATATTTGTACGGTAATAATAATAGTTTGGGTGAGACTGAGTTCTGTTTGGCTGTGGTGGTGAGATTATTGGAGTTTTTATCAAAGATTTTTAGGTCGATATGGTTACATGCAGACCTGTTGCAGGTGTCTACCGAGCGGTAGCTTTGTGCATACTTAGTTGGGGGATGGGGTATATATCTGGGTGAGAAGTCGAGATCTACATCATCGGGCTGGCTATTGCAGGCAGGCTTACATGTACTCCGTTGGCCGCTATTCAGGATGGCCGATTATGAGATTGTTGGGTGTTTGGGGTCAGCCACACTGTCTAAATACTGCTCACAACATGTAATGCTCTTGTTTGGACTGACAAATGATTTCGACTCTAACAGTATGTGAATGCACTTGTTTATATCTACAAGCGAGATACAAGGTAGTGGTATGTCTTGTCCAAGTAAAGGTTGCACGTTTAGTGTAACTGAGGGAAAATCAGAGTAAAATGCAGACTGATCAGTGCGTTTATAAGGTTTCAAATCATTCGTTTTAGTGACTGATTTAGATCTTTTGCAAGTGCTATAGGCATCAGAAGAGATTATATGTTTTTTAGATGGCCTGGACATTATTGGAATTAATGTACATATAAGGTTTAATTAGGTGGACGGTGACAATTATAATTTAACTTAATGGACGTGTAAGTTTCTATGGTAGGATCAGATCCAGTATTAGTTAAGAGTTGTTTGATCCTCGTGTTACAGGTGCAGCCACCATCAATCTTCTTGAAGGTTATGGCCAGAAGGCTCACACCTCCTTGGTTAGTTATGTCTTGCTTGAACAGCAAAACATACAAAGCCAATCCGAGCTAGGTTTTGAGCACATTTTGTATGCCGTGGGGTTTAAACGAGGACATTTCTTATGGAACTAGCTTTTACACTCATCACATTGTGTCCCTCCTTCCATTAGCGGAGAACAGTTTCGTTATTCTTACATATAAGTACTGCCGATCATTTAAAATGGATTTATAGGGTTAGAAATCAACAAGGTACACAATATGATTACAAGTATCCGCACCCACTAGAAAAAGTACCACAAAACGGATTTAAAGAAAATATCAAACCTTAACCAAAATAATTCATAATAAAGTAGGCTAAGTGACAAATACATAAAAGGAAGGCTAAATCATAGTAAGCGCTAAATGCTTCGATTAAACTCAACTTGATTTCGTACTTGTGGCAGTCTGCTTAGCGACCGATCGAAACGGAGCGGGAATCATCATGCTCACCATCTTTTTAAGTAATGCGGATCGACCTTCTTCGTTCTACTTTTTTCCGCTGTTTCTTTGGTGAAGCTGCACAATTTATTGTTTCGGTCTGCTGAAATTTCGTAATTAATCTGAGCACATTTTTTGAATCAGCTTTGTTTTCCCAGTTTTTCGCGCTGCTACTTGAGTTAATGTATCCCTTCTAGCAATCTTGTTTGTTTATGTTATAAAATGCTAATCCGTTTTGTTTTCAGTATTATTATTTAGATAGTGAAAATCAGTGTTAATGTTTTGGCTAAACTAAGTGTTGCTGCCGTCTGAGACTTTAACTGTCCGCACGTTAATTCTTTCGGAACAGTTATAACTTGTTTATGATTTTATCGGGAGCAATAAATGGAAAGAACCTTCGGTTTGTTATTTTTTAGTATTAAGGACAATCCTATCGTATCAATGAGTTAAAATAGTGCCGTATACCCAGTAGTAGTGAATATTAGTAAAATTTTTGATAAGATTATGAGACCCAGGCAACAGAAAACCCGTCAGAAATGCTATCGATCTATTGTAGAAGCTTTGTTATTAAAATGTATACTATATAGAAGTAATAGATGAATTCGATTAATCACGTCGTGCGTGAAAGCAAGTTTAACATTAAGAAGCTATCAATATGTAGTATATGTTTGCTGTTTTGGCGAAAAAAGAAAGCCGGAGGGTCATGATCAGGGAGTTAAATGGTGATTAACAGTTATTATACCTGCTTTTTTATCGATCAAAGCCTACCGGTTGCGAGGTCATGTTCTTGGCGATATGGTGTCCGCCGGTACATAATCGCTTCATCCAAGATGTTCCACGACCACCCTTGAGATGAGAAGCACCTGCGAATTTCCGCTTTCCTATTCGAGTAATTTTTGGACAACTGTCTACCAGTCTGAGCGCCACATACTCCCTGGGGAACTCGATTTCGATAACATTCACAGAACCTCCATAGCTTTCTCATACAGCAAGTTCACTAATTCTTTTAAAACAGACCATAAAGACTTCCTTACTGCACCTGTATAGCTAAAATCCGTATTCTGTACTTCATGTACTCGATGAAGACAAGTCGTGCCATGTGTATCTGCCGTATATAGTCATTTTTACTCCCACTTTTACCTGTTATGTTTTACTTTTGAAAAATAAAATCGTTGTATTCAGTAAGTGCAAAATTATTTGCTGTGATGGAGATAAGAGAGGTCATGACATGTTTAACAGGACTGTAGTAGTACTTTGACTAAAAAGCTAAGCTAGCGTGTAGTCCAGTGTACGGTATCATACGGAATACCCTTGTGTTACCAGTGTTCCATTAGTGTGAGTAAAGGCATTGCTTGCATATCATAGGGCAGCTGAATACGTAACTTTGAGATTAGACGCAGAGACGGTTAGGATATGTGTAACGCCAGTCCATCGATAAACTGCCATGGCACGTCATGGCGGCTGGAATAAGTCGTAAGAAGGCTTGAGTCTGTAGGTTTTCCAAGAAAATAACGAAGATGTGTACTATATCACTTTAATATGAACTAGGTGATAAAAGGCTCGTGTTTCGCGGATTTCTTACGATTGTTAACTTGATAGATCAAAATAGCATCAGATTTACAATGGAACATTTACACTAGATTTTTATTTAGAATTCTCATCGGTAATGTTAAGCTGTACTCCTTGTTATTTTTTAAAACTGAAGGTTAAAGTAACTCATAGATATTAGGAGTGGTTGCGAAACTAAAGTGGACGTCTAGCATGGTTTTAATAAGCTATGGAGAATGTGCCGTTAGTTGATTCTTCCATAAACAGTTTCAAAGGGCCTGAATTTTAACAACGAAACAGTTTGTAAGATCTGTAAAGACTCACTCCTATTGCATTCTAAATGAAAAAATATTAATGGCTTTAGTGAAAAGGATGGCACGGGTGAATAAACAAATTACACGTTTACAGGCAAAAAATTTACGCAGCTGTTATTTACCCTAATTTTATGAATATTAGTTTAGGACTAGGTCAGCCACTAAAACCTGTGCAAAGCGTAGTAATGTACAGCTTTTATTATTTTACTCCCATTTAAGTATTTCAATGTTTCTGCGTTTGGTTTTAAGGGAAGATATGCAAGTAGAGTTATTGTCTAAAAACTGAAATTCCCAGTCGTCAAAAAGATTTTTGTTGCTTGTCTGAGGCCAGATGCATTTAATTAAGACGTAGAACAATCCTCATTCAGGACGGTGTACTGCTGTTTTGCAGAAAAGTAAAAACACAGACACTTATTTATCCTCCAGTCGATGTTAGCTCTGGGGAAATTGTTTAATGGTGGTGATCGTGAAATGTGGTCAGAGCTAGGCGTACACTCTACAAATAAACATCAAACACAATTATCACTTTTTCGAAATGAACACAATCTTATAATACACGACAACAACAGCATTCAAGGTGCTTTCCTCTCATTTGCAAGCAGACTGATTTGAATCAGTATACTCAATAAAATCAGGCTGACATGGGAGTCGCTGTAATTTTTCGTTTTTATTAAAGGCGAAGTTTTTATAATGGGCCCATATCACACTATCTTAAGTGTAATTTATTAACGAAATGTTAGGGGTTATGGGAATATGATAAATATATCAATCCTCCTGTTCCACACATGTTCTAAGCTATCAACCTCAGCTTTCTGGAGCGATATACTCTGTGATGCATACATAGTTTTACACTGATCGTTTTCTAGTTGCGACACATAGGAGTGCTAACGGATATGAGTGAGCAGTTCTACTTACTAGACTGATATGCTTCACTATATGTTCAAGCACTATACTTCCGCATAATTAGATTGATCTAAGTTACTTATTAGGTAACCAAGAATATTAAAATTGAACAGGCGTCATAATTATCATTTCATTTGCACAGAAATGTTACTCAAAGTAGTTAAATATAGACAATTAGGCCTACAAACCCAAAACACGAACTATAGGTTGGAGACTGATAATTTAAAAGAACCCCTGAAACACGCAAAAGCATAGTTAAATAGATTGGAGCGAAAAAGTTCTTTTCTTTTTACGTAGCAAAAATTCTTGGTGTCAAATCCGAATATTTGTTTGGCTTCACTGAACAATTTCATTACTTGCCTTGATACAAGCAACTTTATATGACTTGAAGGCCGTCGACCAAAGAAGCTGAGTTGGTCATTTATATTTAAAGTACATTCATAGAGTAAGTGCTAAGAACCTCTTTTAGAATCATATGAAGGCAACTTAAATTGCATTTTTGCTAATTTGTTATTATGTTCCGCCAAGATCATATCCCGCGACTAAACAATGTTTCTGTTCTCAGTCATAATTCTAAAGACATAAGTTCACTTGAAATTTCTGGAGAATAAGTCCCATGTATCCCATCTTTTCTGCGGAAAATATAGTTCATTTTGTGTTATAGGGTTCCTATGAGTTGACCAGTTCCTTAACGAAGTCCCAATTGGGACTGGTCATGCTAGGTCATACTGACCAAACTATGGGTTTTAAAATGACCATGCATTTTATGCTTTTTATACGCAAAAAACCGCACTTCAGATAAACTAACAATTTTGTTGGGCGAAAATCGTTATTTATCGTGTAATTAAGCTGTCATCTACAATGGGTGTCTTTTAGATGGTGGTTGGAGGTAGTCAACAGGAAACCCTGGACCCGGGTTTCGTGCTATTTGGCACTCGTCAGCAAGGTGTACCTGTAATCTTGAGGGAACTGGTGCTCCCTGGCGGATTCGATCACTATGTATACATAGTGGTCCACCAGGGTTCTTGGTACCTGTGTGGTTGCGCCACGGGATTGAGCTGTACTGTTCAGATTGTAGCGTTAAAGCCTGTACGGTGTCTGGTTCCCCTGCTAAACGGGGTTGAGCTGTACTGTTTGGGTTTTTACGTGAAGGTCCGGATGGTGTCTGGTTCTCCTGAAAACCAATGTAAAATTACCCTGGCCCACAAGGGTATATTATATTACTGTGAGCCCCCGAACGCCCTGGTACGGCCGAGAGTGGGGAGAGTCCCCTCTCCCTCTCGAAATACTCTCACACGGCCGCGCGTATACAGCCTCTGCCAGGGAAGTCCTACTCATTGCCTTCTCGTGGCGGGGGTGTTGTTTACGAAAATGAGAGGACGAAAAGCGAACGTCCGGCGCTTTAACCGGATCACAAACCAATGGTGCACATGGGCTCCAGTATCCTGCGGGAACAAATGGCGTATGAACCAATCGTTGGTCACCGGCTACCATGGGATTGCATCTCACGATGTTCCACTGCCTTGTGGGTTAGACCATTAGGTCAAAGGCTCGGGGTGTGGCCCCCTAAGATAACCACCTGCTTCGGTTTGGGCACCCGGGCAGTATCACAGCCCACACACAAACAATGAACTCTATGATTACGGCAACTACCTTTCTCGATCTGATAAACAATCAATCAATTCAAATAATTACCATTACTATTATTATTATCACCATTATTATTATTATTATTATTATTATTATTATTATTATTATTATTATTATTATTATTATTATCTTCCACATTATTCACCCTCTTTTATACTTATACAGCGGCTCGTCTTTGGTGGAAATTCGACTGTATCTAAACGTTCTCGAGTCACTGTTCGGTTGAAAATTGTATGTTACCACCGAATACGAGAACTGAAGCAGTTTTTCTGAAACCACGTGCACCATTCAAACTGGCTGCCTTCAACGTTCGCACACTAATGCAGGTCGGACAACAGATAGGGCTGGCTATGTCTTTGGAAAGTCTCAATATTGATGTTTGTTGTCTATCCGAGACCCGTATTCAAGACTCTGGCGAAGTACTACAAATTCGATCTCCATCTGTCGCTTCGAAAAGCTTGTTTTACGTGCGCTTATCCGGGGACCCTGTGGCATCCTCGTCTGGACTTGCTGGCGTTGGTGACGCACTAAGCGCTAGAGCTGAGGCAGCACTAGTCGATTGGATCCCCATTAACAGTCGGTTATGTGCTGTTAGATTAGAAAGTTCCATCAGAGTGAGAAGCGATGAGAAACGATGTCTTTTCGTCATCTTCGCCTATGCCCCGATAGATTGCAGCCCGGATGCAATCAAGGATGAGTTTTACCACCAGTTATCTGTTCTTCTACAGAAAATGCGTTCGACAGATATTGTAGTACTAGCCGGAGATTTGAATGCTCAGCTCGGGCGTCTAGGCACAGAAGAGAGTCGTTTAGGTGGCCGATGGGGACTCGTTGGTCGCAGGTCAGATAACGGGGACCGTCTACTGCAACTTTGCACAGACCACAACCTATTTCTTGCTAGCACTAACTTTCGGCACAGTCATCGCCGATGTGACACCTGGCGTCCTCCCTCTGCATCCCAAGCCTGGACTCAGATTGATCACATCGCGATCAGCTACCGCTGGCGTGGTTGTGTGAAAGATTTCCTCTTTTTTTGGAGTACCTATCTGGACTCTGACCATGCCTTCGTCTGCGCCAATCTTGCCTTACTTTTCAGTGGACAACGAAGTGACCACCATCAAAGGATTGATGTCAGCAAGTTGGTTGCAACTTCTGTTGCAAATAAGTATCGAACCGAGCTAGCTTCTAGGCTAGCTACCACTCCACCGAAAAGTATAGATGAGCATTGGTTGCAATTGCATGACGCCATGAAAATGGCGGGAACAGTCAGTTGTGGGTTTGCGAAACGTCCCGCTTATAAGCACTGGGTTTCTTCTGGTTCCTTACAACTTATTGAAGCCCGTCGGTCGACTCCGGGTGACCGTGAGTTTGACCATAAACGAATGATGTTACGTAAGGGATTTGGGCAAAGCTTGCGTAAGGACCGAGAAGCCTGGTGGTCGGAGCGTGCTAATGAGATGGAAGCAGCAGCTGCATCTGGTAACTACCGGAAGCTCTTCCAGCTCATCCGAGCCACTGGCAGCAAGAAGTCTGGTGTGAGTGAAACAATCTGCGAGGATGATGGGATGCCAATCACTAATATCCATCGACGTCTTGGACGATGGGCAGAATTTTTCGAAGGGCAGTTCAACTGGCCTGCTGCTCCGGCAACATCGGTCAGACTGTCCTGCCCTCCATGGCCGGTGACGACTGATCCACCAAACGAGGAGGAAGTCCGCAAGGAACTCCAACTCTTGAAGCGTTACAAATCACCTGGCCCAGATGACTTACCTCCGGCTCTTTTTAAAGATGGTGGTGACTTTTTGACTAAGGAATTGACGACGTTGTTTACAAAGGTTTGGGAATTAGAGAGTGTACCAACGTCATGGAATGAGTCGATAGTTGTCCCTATCTTTAAAAAGGGTTCACGTCGTTCCTGCAACAACTATCGGGGGATAAGTCTACTTCCGATTGCGTCCAAGCTATTGGCTTCCGTCATACTTCGTAGGTTGTTCAAAACCCGAGAAAGATTGACTCGCGAGGAGCAGGCTGGGTTTCGTTCTGGTCGAGGTTGTATTGATCATATCTTCACCCTCCGCCAAATGTTAGAACATCGCCATGCTTATCAAAGGCCAACAATCGTAGTGTTTCTTGACATCAGGGCTGCCTTCGATTCGTTGGACAGGACTGTTCTCTGGGATTGTCTATTGAAGAAGGGTGTGCCTGAGAAGTTTATTAACATCCTAAAAGCCCTATATAAAAACACCTCAGGCAGAGTGAGGGCATACAACCACCTCTCTCCATTGTTCTATACGAGTAGTGGGGTTAGGCAGGGTTGCCCAATCTCACCATTCCTCTTCAACTTTGCCATCGATGACATTCTGGAAACAGCTCTGATGAATGTAGGTAATGGTGGTGTGGATCTGTTGCCTGGAGAAAGACTTCTCGACCTTGAGTATGCGGATGATATTGTCTTACTGTGCGATAATGCCCAAGGCATGCAATCCGCACTTAATCAGTTGGCAGTCAGTGTCCGTAGGTATGGTATGTGCTTTGCACCTTCGAAGTGCAAAGTACTTCTACAAGACTGGCAGGATTCCAATCCTGTACTCACCCTGAATGGTGAGCAGATAGAAGTAGTCGAGAAGTTCGTGTATCTGGGTAGCTGCATAAGTGCTGGTGGGGGTGTGAGTGATGAGATCAATGCACGTATAGTGAAAGCCAGAGCGGCTTATGCCAATCTGGGCCACCTTTGGCGCCTTCGTGATGTTAGTCTGGCTGTAAAAGGTCGGATCTACAACGCGTCGGTGAGAGCAGTTTTGCTCTATGGTTGTGAAACCTGGCCTCTCCGAGTTGAGGACGTTAGACGACTCTCTGTGTTCGATCATCGCTGTCTCCGAAGGATTGCTGACATTCAGTGGCAACACCATGTTAGTAATGCAGAGGTTCGGCATCGTGTGTTTGGGCACAGAGATGATAATTCAATTGGTGTCACCATCTTGAAACACCGACTTCGGTGGCTTGGACATGTTCTACGAATGTCGTCCCAGAGGATTCCACGTCGTGCATTATTTGCCGACTCTGGGACTGGTTGGAAAAAGCGGAGAGGTGGTCAGTGCATGACATGGTGTCGTGGTATGAAAGAAAGCTGCAAAGGACTGGCTTCTGTCGGTCCTTCACGACTCCCTGGTTGGGGTCTGAGAGATGGTGCTACACAGTGGCTAGAGACGTTATCAGATATGGCTCAGAATAGAAGCCAGTGGCGATCCTGCTGTAACCTTCTTTTACTTTCTTCATAAAAAGTGGTTGTGTCTCCCTTACTTGAAAGATTTCTTCTGATTGTACCTTTCCGTTCCATCGTTACGACCGCACTATCTTTCACCAATCTCTTTGTTATCGTTATCTTTTTCTTTTGTGCTCCTTAGTTTTTTTTTCTTTTCTCTCTTCGAATTTTCATTGTTTTGTGTGGCGCAGATATATTGGCGCTCTCTTATACCAATATTTATGTGCTCAAATAAATAAATAAATACATAGTGCCCGCAGTGTCGAGTCACCTAGACTGGTGGCCACATTGCAACACGATCGATAGCATTCGATCTGCACTAATAAGGACTAGACAAGCATGACATTGATCACCACCCAGTGATCAATCAATTGTGATTACAATGAGTGTCTAAATGTCTTCAAGATGTGTTTTGCGCCAGCAATGTAGTTACAAACCAGTTGTTTACTATCTAGATTCGAATATTGAAATACGGTTGGTAGCGCTTCGTTTCTAATACGTGTATAACGTTGTGTACTGTGTGAAACATCCGAAACAGCCTTAAATTTGTATCATGTACCCTTGTGATTTAATTTGATATAAATAATAGATATTCATATGATTTGAATATGATTTAGTTCTGTACTTACGAAGTGTTGACAAACGTTTGTTGGCGGTGGTGATTTACTTTGTTCTAAAATAAATTCTTTCCAAGAATAAATGCTATTTGGAAGATTAGACCTTTTAGGGAAATCATGCTAATTCATCAGGGTGGATTTTATGAAAATGCAGGTTTTCCCTCGAACTAGGGAAAAGTGTGGCTTAAAGTCCGGTTTTGCCCGAGTTTACACCACGAATTTCCTACGGTATTGGCCGTTTCCGGTATATCTATTGTTAGAATGATTATCATCAAAAGTCCATGTCACTCAAAATCTTAGATATCAAAAGTAAATAAATTTTTCTTTGCCCTGGCCATTTCTCCATACTAATTACCTGTGTAACAATCAGGCTAGTAAATTCTATCACTCTCGGTAGCCATACCAAATCTTGCATCAGTAGGCTGGTAATTACAGTTCTAGTTTATTATCACCCTAATGTATCATTCCTATACTCTGTTTGCCTGAAAGTGTTAATTATTGTAGTATTTTGATCATTCTGTCAGTTACCACCATAATCTTACATCTCTTTTAACTTATTTCCTAGTTGTCGCTTTCAATCATGGGTAGCACAAATAGCCGTATTGAAACAAATTTGAATCCAATAAAAACGTATACAGGATTTGAAAACCATGTAAATAATCTGTTTTCTCGTTATCTAAATTCCGTATAGGATAATGAACTAGTTATTTCCAAGGAATCATTTCGAGTTCGTCCATTGTTTTCTTTATTTAAATTTTGCACTTGTGTGTAGAATAAGTTCGACTCCTGTTTCTATGATTTGGCCGATCTTTTATGGGATAATTTCAAGAGTGATCATAATTCCAATGATGAATTCCTGGTTCTCAGAAAATATCAAAGCATAATTGAATACTTGTCTTCTGCTCAGGATAAACTGGAGATAATTTTAAGTTTGTTTAAGCTACGTGAGTTAAGTGAATCAGGTAATTGGCAAATTACTTATTTTCACAAAATTTTAAGATGTTAAAGCATTATTTAAGTGGTTCTTGTTGGGAAGAGATTTGAAACCAGACACGTGGCAATTAATAATTAATTCTATCTTGTCTTCAGTAAGTCCTTTTAATTATACGAATTCTGTATTGTTATACTTTATTAGTTATTGGTCTAATCCTTTTCCTTTTGATGTGATAAGATGTTTCTTAGGTGAAACTAGTTAAGTGCACACCATTGAAGGCATCCAAGGCTTGTATAAAGCGTTCTAAATTACTCGGGTAGGTAATGGCTTGTTAACATGTAATTACAGTCTTCTTATACTAATCTTATCAGATATGATCTTTCAGATTCACTAGTGATATTGCCTCAAAACACAGCCTAATTTTTCTGACTGCATGCCATTACAATAATTAGAGTTGACGAAACCTAATTATTATCGGAAGAGGGTTTTGTGAAGATTGTAGTAATTTAATAGTTGAGTTCATAAGTCAGTTAAAGCTAAACCATGATGGAAAACCTGGAAGTACTGGACGGCCGTTTCGTCCTAGCATGTGGCTCCTCAGCAGTGCGCATCCACGATCCCGTGGCCAGTGGAGTTCAACCGGGTTTGTAGTAAGATAGTAACTCACCGAAGACAGTGGTGGACGGCGGCGCAATATCGTGGATTGGTTGAAGTTAAACATTAACACCGTTCGATGCCGGCTCAGTGGTCTAGATGTTAGGCGCTCGCGCGCGAGACTGAAGGTCTTGGGCTCGAATTCTGCAAGCGGGACCGTGGATGAACACTGCTGAGGAGTCCCACAATAGGACGAAACGGTCGTCCAGTGCTTCCAGGTTTTCCATGGTGGTCTAGCTTTAATTGGCTCATGAAACTTAATTAGTTTGTTGTTAGTGCTATTTCACATATTTTTCTTACTGCATACGGACACTGCAGTAAACTAAGTGGGTTACATGTACAAAACTAAGTTGGAGATTATCATAAGTTGTTAACCACGTTTCATGGGAAGATACAATATTTTCATCGTTAGGATAATGTTTTAAAGTCCGCTTGGTTAACAAGTGGACGAACTGCAAAGTTTGTACGACAAATATTTCAGAGGTTGTTTATTAGATTATTTTTCGAAATAAATAACATGCATAAAATTGATGGGCTAGTTAATAAACTAGACATTGCTAGCGTGCTGCTTGTTTTTTAAATTTTGTTTCCTCGATAGTTTGAATTCTTGACAAATTGTACTCTTTACAGCATCTTTCATCTCTGTTAGTTTTATCACAAGCTGCGATCACTATCGTATCACTAAATATTGGTGATATGTTTGAAATTCCCTTGGCAACGTGTAAGTGATATTTCCTCTAAGCAAATCAGTCACTACCGATCAGTGCTAGAAGTTCCCAGTTGTTTCTTTTATTCGGTATAGATATATCAATCATCTTTTTCATGCCATTACTTTATAGTATAAACGGTGAAACTGTAATTTATGGTGACACTAAGGTGACCTTGAAAATATCCATCTACTAACTAAGGTTAAATGAGGGTCATAAATCAGTATGGGGAATCAGATTTATAATTTACTGTTGGTGGTTAGCGTTAGGAGTTAGACTTAGGGTCTTTATCACAAACTGACATTAGCTAAAATGCCAAAGAGCTATTTAACCAAATAGATAAATAAGTTCCACGTCAAAATCCAAGAGCTGTTGTCCTAAATCTGATTGGTTCGTCCATAAATTATAGTCTCGCCTCATAAATGATGTCTAGTGAATCATACGCTGTGATCCATATATTATTAGCCTAGAACGTCGCACCTTAAAAATCTTCAGTTTAAATTCCTTTTGGTTGCTTTATTCTTCATAAAATTAGGTTTTCAAATCCTAGTCTAGATTAAACGTATATTCATTTATAGGCATTATTTATCTCAACAGTAACTAATTTTGATATTTCGTTAGTTGACAAGATTTTACAATTCTTTTCATATTGAAACCTTTTGTGTATTTCGAAAATGTCGAGTTGTTTTCAGAAACATTTACATCTTTCGAGCACATAGATATACTTAAAATGTATTTCAATACTTTAAGTTAAAGTCAAATATTTGTTTCATATGCTTGTACACATGGAGAAAAAGATCTGTTCTAGTATAGTAAATGAGAACAGCAATGGGGACAATCAAATGTATGCAAATAAAAAATTACAGAATCTCGTATTGAAATCTGAGGACCGAACAGTAAATACTTTATTTGCAAAACGTCCATCAACTGTCTCAGACTTCTTTCGTTTCCATATTAATCGCTTTCTATCCTCGTTGTCTTCTCTTCGGTTTTCTTAAACTTCTGCCGCCAGGCATTCCACTTTCGATTAGTGATACACACTATTTATATCTGTTGACATCAGCAACACACGCCACTCTAGTAATCGAACTGTATTTAAACAACCATTAGTCTGTTTAGTCGTACAGGCAATCAAAACATTCAATCGTATGTACGCAAAAATATGCGTATTTATGAGTTCGGAAACTATATATTATAATGGATACAAAGATAATCAATATAACTCAAGTTGACTCATTCAGCTGCCAACTAGCTATCCAGTATTTCATAAAATGTACTGGTTTGTTTCACAAATTTATCGAAAATCCGTTTTTAACGTTTTTAGTTTTGTATTATTCATCTTTTATCCTAAGTTATTCTACTTGTCAGTTTATCTGATTTTCTACATAATTTACTTACAATTGGGAAGGGACTTTTGTTTGGCCGTCATCATCTGAGTAATCCTAGCGCCCATGTATGATACACCTAAACCACAAACGTTGAAGGATTCATTTTCCCAATTAACATTCATAATTTCAGTTTGTTACTATATAGATACCCTGGAGTCAAAATTAATGTAACTTCACAGGGGCATTCATTCGAATCTTATGTTACATGTCATATGTTTTTAGGGTCTATCACAGCTTCGAATCTGGAGATTTGTGAAGATTCGTCCAATTTAGAGATATTTTTCATCATGGACCAGTATTAAGTGGAAAAACGTCATAGAAACCTGAAATATACTAACAACTGGCTGAATAATTTTATGCAGTAAAGGAAGTAATCGTGTGATGTAAATCACTGGGTTTAAAGAATTTAATTAGGGGGTGATGTAGTTAGTGTGAACAGTATAGGTTTTCACTTTACTGCTATATAAAATTCAAGGCATAGAGTGATCATGCGTTTCAAATTTTGACATGTCCTGTTGATGAAAGCTACCGTAGTGTTTATCAATTTAACGCATAGTATTTTGCAGTAGATTACTTACTCCGTATTATACGATAATCATTTATCATACTAGTTTGTGTACTTTAAACAAGTTATTTTCTTTGGTTAAATCGTTAATCTTTTTGATTTTCTTTTTAATCCTGTTTTCTCAGGATGAAAATGGTACATACAAACATCACACAATTGTCAGCTGTTTGAATCGCTTATGTCCAGATATTTGTAATGACTTAGTCAATATACTTTTACAACTCTTAAAGGATAATCATTCATTTAATTTGGTAAGGTGCAGAAACATATATATATATATATATATATATATATATATATATATATATATATATACCTGTTCATTTAAACAATTATTATTTTCTAGACAGATTTCAACCCTTATTCGCTTTCCGGAACAATATTAACATCGGATCTCCAGTGGTTGTTTTCTACTTTTCTCACTTATCCATACAAACGTGCACCGAAAACGTGTCTACTTCAAACAACACCATTAGAATGTGTATGTATATTATTCTGACCGACTAGTGCATATACATAATAATGCATATTTCAGGAGCAGTTGTCACATTTACATTGTTTGTATGACAGTACGAATCATGGGATGAGTTTGACCAGGTAATTACTTCGGTATTGTGTTGTGGATTCTTAAATATTATGCTAAATTTTTTATCGATCTCATCAACAAAGGTCTTTTTAATTCACAGTTACTAACAATAACATTATGTATTTATACGTTTTTAACTGCTCTATATTCATTTTCTCAGCTGCTTTAAGATACCAGCTTATGTTATTATCATATACTTAACTAAAAAAAACTGGAGTATTCGGTCTTCTGGTCAAAATCAAACAATCGATATGGTGTCAAATAATATCAAACTACCCGAAAACCATGGTCAAGTAATGCCATCTATTATCACTTATCTCCAAGTATGAACTTGGTATCTAGGATGTTGTGCACTATAATTTGTGATTTGCTTTTTGTATAGAGCAAAGATGGTATTTTTTAAACAACTATCTAGTTGTGTCAGTATTTTCGATTATATTCGGTTGGATCATGTAACTTGTCTGGCTAAAACTGATGGCGATGAAGAATAGTTACTTTTGTCTGGTGACGGATTTAGTATGAGATGAAAGGAATAAATTCAACTGCCGTCTTTTAGTTTTCTCATTCACAATTTTTCTTCTAGATATTTGTTTTCATGTCAATCATCTAGTTTTAACAACTATTTATCTATTTAGCCTAACTTCGTTATTTCAAGTTTGTACCCTTTTGTGGACCTATAAATATGGTCTCTGTTGTTCTTACTAACAGTTTTTTTCAGTCTGTGGAAGAGATACATTACTGAGTTTTGTTTATTACAATAAAATAACTTGGATATAGACAAATACTAACAAACAAGGTTGAGTACTGTTTGTTTCTAGTCAATTTACATGCATAATGTATATTTTCATTTGATATCCAGCTCAAATTTAGCTAGGAAAAAGAGGTAAAATGAACTAGAGGTATATGCGTTAATCAGAGAAATCAGTTTTTATGAAGCTAACGTTCAGTGATTTGGCATTATTTTCGACTTATCCTTGCTAATTATTAGATATGCCATTTAGCCTAAATCTTTCAGTGTTGAATGTCATTAAAATTCACTTGTTTTTTTAGAATGTCTGGACCGTGAGAGTTCTATTTACGAAAGGTTGCTTAAATGTGAATCGTTCCACGATCCTTCTTATTGTTGTAAAACAATAAATTAACACTCACAAGTGCTAATTCATGCAATATTTTTAACTACTACCATAAGAGTATGACTAAATGGAAGGACAATAATGTTGCCAGTATTTTCGTATTCGTGATATCATCCTGTGTAATTTCTTAAGGTTGCTACTATCATTTTACATGCTCAAAACTCCTGCCGTAATCATTTATGTGTAGATGAGATTTCTAAATTTGCTGAAGTCACGTTTAAAAAACGAACATACTACAGCTATCATATTCAGTTAACCGATTTATATAATTACTGAATACAAGCATAATCGATATACATTCACTACTGGAATTTCATTTCTCTATGTAAAATTATGAATTTCTTATTTTCTGCTATTAAATGCCATTTCAGAAACAGTAACTATCATTAATATATAATTAAATAGTATTTTCACTAATCTAGTACCATGAAAGTCCAATCACGTGTGTTTGCTCTGTTGGGCTTTTATTATGTTATACTTACTTGATATGATAAATTACTTACGCCTGTTACTCCTCGTGAAGGAGCATAGGCCGCTCACCAGCATTCTCCATCCAACCCTGTCCTGGGCAATCCTTTCCAGCTCCTTCCAGTTGTTATTCATCTTTTTCATATCTACTTATATTTCATGCAATTGGTTCCCTTTTTGAATTTAAATAAAGCAAGAACAAATAATGGTGCAGAATAGTATGAATTCATATTATTTCGAGGTTTCTCGTCAGCTGCTTACAAACCAAAATTGTGATAGAATTTTTACATTGAGATATAGTGAAAACAATTGACATAGATGAGTGTAAATAAATGGGTTACAATAATAATTATAAATATATATATGCTAGAACAGGTCAGAGGTCAAAAGGAATTAATTCAGGTTGGGTGGTGTAATAATGGAATTGAATAATCATAAGATAGGTTACGTAATAATAATAAAATAGAATTTGAAAAGTTAAGATAATTTAAGAGGATCAGGTGGCGGAAATGTGTGAATGATAATGTGGTTTAAGAATTATGTAATAGGGGAGGAGTATAAATATTTTCAAATAAATAAATAAATAATAAAATAAAAAGGGGTTACCAGGGTAGTTATAAGTTAATTAAAGTCTCTTTCTGGATGCATAAGTCAGGTTTAAGTTTTTTGATCAGGATGGCTTCAGCAAAACGGAGGGTGGTCTTACTTCTTTGTCTATTGATAATTTTGAAAGCATGTGGAATCTCGATGGTGTGTCCGGTGTCAAGTAGATGTCGAGCTATTGCGCTGTTGAAGGCCTTATTTCCTCGCAGCCTCAAGTTTTTTGGAACATGCTCAGAAATGCGGACATGCACTCTTCTCTCAGTTCTTCCAATGTCTGTGCTTTGGCACGTACATGTGAATTGGTAGATGCAGTTGGAGCTACTAAGGAAAGAGGGCTTGTCGATTTTGGTTTGTTGAAGTGAGCAGTTCGTTTGCCATACTGTCATAAGTTTTACTGCTGGGTAGGTGACTTTCAACGCAGAGTTTATTCTGTGATTAATTATTCCAGCAATTTCATCACCTTTGAAACGTAAGTGTAAGAAGCAGGTTTTTCTTTCTACTCCATCGTATTTTGTACGAGGATTGCTTTTTGCATATTTCTGGATAAATATCAATGGGTATTAATTATCACGTAGAACATCAGTAATCAGATTAATTTCATCATCAAGGTATTCTTTTGAACAGATTTTCTGAGCGCGGTCAAAAAGGGTTCGTACAATACCCTTTTTGTAACTCATCCGGCAGAAACTATGGTAATTGAGATATATACCACTCCAGGTATTTCATGGTGAATATGTCTATGTAATTTACCATCAGATGTTCGTCGGATCCCAACATCAAAGAATTGGAATTTGTCTTCGGCTTCTTGTTCCATAGTAAACTTTATGTCATTGTGTGCTTTATTAAATAGATCGAGTAGTTGAATGGCGTGTTCGTGATTGTTGCAGACGAGGAATGTGTCATCAATATATCTGCAATACAGCTTAGTACCATCGATTGTGTGCTTAAGCATTTTTTGTTCTAGGTTTCCCATAAATATATCGGCAAGAATTGGACCCAATGGGCTACCCATGGCAACTCCATCGATTTGGCGGTAAAGGATATTATTGAATTGAAATTGTATGTTTTTTGTACAAAGAAAGAGGAACTGTTTAAAATCATGAATTGGTAGGGGTAGAAGTTCAGGATAACCACAAATCTGTTTAAAAGAATACCTTGATGATGAAATTAATCTGATTACTGATGTTCTACGTGATAATTAATACCCATTGATATTTATCCAGAAATATGCAAAAAGCAATCCTCGTACAAAATACGATGGAGTAGAAAGAAAAACCTGCTTCTTACACTTACGTTTCAAAGGTGATGAAATTGCTGGAATAATTAATCACAGAATAAACTCTGCGTTGAAAGTCACCTACCCAGCAGTAAAACTTATGACAGTATGGCAAACGAACTGCTCACTTCAACAAACCAAAATCGACAAGCCCTCTTTCCTTAGTAGCTCCAACTGCATCTACCAATTCACATGTACGTGCCAAAGCACAGACATTGGAAGAACTGAGAGAAGAGTGCATGTCCGCATTTCTGAGCATGTTCCAAAAAACTTGAGGCTGCGAGGAAATAAGGCCTTCAACAGCGCAATAGCTCGACATCTACCTGACACCGGACACACCATCGAGATTCCACATGCTTTCAAAATTATCAATAGACAAAGAAGTAAGACCACCCTCCGTTTTGCTGAAGCCATCCTGATCAAAAAACTTAAACCTGACTTATGCATCCAGAAAGAGACTTTAATTAACTTATAACTACCCTGGTAACCCCTTTTTATTTTATTATTTATTTATTTATTTGAAAATATTTATACTCCTCCCCTATTACATAATTCTTAAACCACATTATCATTCACACATTTCCGCCACCTGATCCTCTTAAATTATCTTAACTTTTCAAATTCTATTTTATTATTATTACGTAACCTATCTTATGATTATTCAATTCCATTATTACACCGCCCAACCTGAATTAATTCCTTTTGACCTCTGACCTGTTCTAGCATATATATATTTATAATTATTATTGTAACCCATTTATTTACACTCATCTATGTCAATTGTTTTCACTATATCTCAATGTAAAAATTCTATCACAATTTTGGTTTGTAAGCAGCTGACGAGAAACCTCGAAATAATATGAATTCATACTATTCTGCACCATTATTTGTTCTTGCTTTATTTAAATTCAAAAAGGGAACCAATTGCATGAAATATAAGTAGATATGAAAAAGATGAATAACAACTGGAAGGAGCTGGAAAGGATTGCCCAGGACAGGGTTGGATGGAGAATGCTGGTGAGCGGCCTATGCTCCTTCACGAGGAGTAACAGGCGTAAGTAATTTATCATATCAAGTAAGTATAACATAATAAAAGCCCAACAGAGCAAACACACGTGATTGGACTTTCATGGTACTAGATTAGTGAAAATACTATTTAATTATATATTAATGATAGTTACTGTTTCTGAAATGGCATTTAATAGCAGAAAATAAGAAATTCATAATTTTACATAGAGAAATGAAATTCCAGTAGTGAATGTATATCGATTATGCTTGTATTCAGTAATTATATAAATCGGTTAACTGAATATGATAGCTGTAGTATGTTCGTTTTTTAAACGTGACTTCAGCAAATTTAGAAATCTCATCTACACATAAATGATTACGGCAGGAGTTTTGAGCATACTATTCCGCACCATTATTTGTTCTACTTATATTTCCCGACGTAATGTGTTCTTTGGCCTTCTCCTCCGCTTCCCTTCAGGGCTTGCCTCTTGATGCAGTTTGACGATTTGCGTAATGTATGTCCCATCCATTTCTATAGTTTTTTCCTAATTTCTTCTTCAGCTGGAAGCTGGTTTGTTCTCTCCCAGAGATGGCTGTTGCTGATGCTATCCGGCCAATGGATGTTGAGTATCCCGCGTAGACAACTATTTATAAATACTTGTACATGTTTGATGACGGTTGTTGTAGTTCTCCAAGTTTCAGCTTCGTACAGTAGAACTGTCTAGATGTTTGTATTGAAGATTCTGACTTTGATATTGGCTGAAAGTTGTTTTGAGTTCCAGATGTTCTTCATTTGTAGGAATGCGGCCTATGCTTTGCCAATCCTCGCCTTTACGTCTGCATCTGAGCCTCCTTGTTCATCGATGATGCTTCCCAGGTATGTGAAGGATTCTACATCCCCTAGAGTTTCGCCATCAAGAGTGATTGGATTGCTGTTTTTCGTTTTAAATTTGAGGACCTTGGTTTTCTTTTTGTGTATGCTGAGGCCTACTGATGCAGAGACTGCTACTACACTGGCTGTCTTTATCTGCATTTTTTCATGTGTATGCGACAGGAGGGCTAGGTCATCTGCGAAGTCCAAATCGTCAAACTGGTTCTGAGCTGTCCACTGTATTACGTGTTTTCCCTCAGATATCGAGGTCTTCATAATCCAGTGGACCACCAGAAGAAAGAGAAAGGGAGAGAGTAGACAGCCTTGTCTGACTCTGGTCCTTACTTGGAATGCATCTGTCACCTGTCCTATTCAGGAGTTCCTCGAAGTATTCTACCCATCTGTTCCGGTGTTGTTGAATTTCAGTGGTTGGCTTGCCTTCTTTGTCTTTGACCGATCTCTCTGGCTTACTATATATTCCCTGCTAGTTTCTTCGTTGTATCGTAAAGCTGTTTCATATTTCCTTCTCTCGCAGCTTTTTCCGCCGTCGTTGCTAGTTCTTCCACGTACTTCTTGTCGGCTCTAATACTCTTGTTCACTTTCTTGTTTGCTTCTATGTATTCACCTTGTGCTTGGACTTTCTCTGCTCGTGTTCGGCTGTTGTTAATTGCTGTCTTCTTGTTCTTCCTTTCTTTGATCTTGTCCAATGTTTCTATAGAGATCCATTCCTTATGGTGGTGCTTCTTTAGACCCATAACCTCTTGACACGTTGATGTTAATGCTTCTTTGATACTTTTCCAGTTGTGCTCCATAATAGTTTCCTCTTCCTTCAGTAGATCCTGTAAGGCTTGGAACCTGTTGTTGAGAGCTATCTTGAATTCATTGAGTTTGTCAGTATCTCGAAGGAAGGCTGTATTGAACCTTTGTAGTACTGTTTGTCCAGTTGTCCAGTTCTTCTTTAGCTTCAGTTTTAAATTGGCCACAACTAGGTGGTGATCTGAAGCTATGTCAGCTCCTCTCCTGGTTCTCACATCTTCCATTGTCCTTCGGAATTTTTTATTGATGCAAATATGATTTATCTGGTTCCCTGTGATGTGGAGTGGTGAGATCTATGTAGCTTTGTGTATACGTTTGTGTGGAAATATTGTGCCTCCTATGACCGATTTATTGAATGCACACAGATTTACAAATCTTTCTTCATTTTCGTTTCTCTCTCCCAGTCCATGTCGTCCCATGATATTTTCATATCCGGTGTTGTCTATTCCAACTTTGGCGTTTAGATCTCCCATTAGAATGGTGAGGTCCTTTCTTGGGCACTTCTTTATGATTGACTGCAGCCGCTCGTAGAATTGATCTTTAATGTCGTCGTTGCTATCATTGGTGTGTGCATAACATTGGATAATATTCATTGTGATCCCCTCCTTCTTTGTTTTGAATGATGCTTTGATGATTCTGGAACGGTGAGATTCTCATCTTGCAAGTGCATTTCGTGCTACTTTGGACAACATTACAACAACTCCCTGAGTGTGCAGAGCATTTTCCACTTCGTGACCGGAGTATATTAGCATTTCTCCCGTATTTAGTCTTTGTTGTCCAGCTTGGGTCCAATGGGTTTCGCTGATTCCCAGTACTGCCAAGTTGTATCTCCTCATTTCCGTTGCTATTTGACTGGTCTTCCTGGTCCCCCACACTTTTCGGACGTTCCATGTACTTATAAAAATTGTTGCTCTGGTTGTTAGAAGGGGCGTCGGCCTCGTGGCTTCCGAAGGAACTCGGCTTTCACCATGAAGCGTCATAATTCTTCTAAATGAAGACCTTCTAACTTCCAGGGCAGAGTTTAAATTATTTTTTCTGGTTAGCGTTTTTTTAGCGAGTTAGTTTTCTACGGGATGGGGTCGCTAACCCCATGCCCGACCCTTTACCCGGGCTTGGGACCGGCAGTAACTCTAGAAGATCTACATGCGGAGTTGATATGATAAATTAAGTATCCATGATTTTAGATTTAGAAAGTGTACTAAATATTGAGCTTCTTTCATTCTATGTAATGAAAGTTTTGATAATTTTTATAATCTATGTTGAAGACGTGTTTAATATATATATATATATATATATATATATATATATATATATATATATATATATATATATATATATATATATATATATATATATATATTTCATAGACACATGTTCTTACTGTTATAACTTACTCTTCTATTAAATCATTTTTTATTGTGTCATCTTTCTTTCACTTTCAAATTGTAAGAAACCTAAAGTGAATTATAACATTTATTTCAGCCCTATTTGAAGTAATTCATACTATAAATACTAGCATTACCTTATTCTATTTATGCAATTTGGTGTACACTATGTTAGATAATAAAACGTAAAAAAGCTGTGGTTAAAAAAACAAGCTTTCTCATCCTACTTTATCGTTAGCTTCCCGATGTTTGATCCCAAAGTTTTCTAAATCTTGTTTGCCTATGGTTCAATCAAAGCCATCAACTTCACTTAACATTCCTTAGAAATATGCAGAAACATCATCGAGTATTTAAATATATTTCACTGACATGATCCAAATAATGAAAACACCAATTTTTTTAACCGGTATTTTTAAGAAGTCTACATCCTGCGTGTAGGACCATAAACTAGAAAAGAACAATCTTATAATTGATTAATCATTGAGCAGTGACTAATGTCACGTTTGTCTATTCTGTTGTCTCTGATCGGATTCTATCTATCTAGTCGCCATGTCACCTCTGGTCAAAATGACTTAACAATTCATCCCTTATTATGAGATGTCAGGTGGTCGGAGGTAGTCAGTAGAATTATTTGGATCTACTTTCCGTACTATCTGGGACCTGTCGCTAAGTCATACTTGCAATCTTGAGGTAATTGATACTGTTTGGTGGATTCGAACACATGTCATCCAATTTTACAACCTGAGACGTTAGCAATGAGTTATGCTGACCTCAATTGATTTCCAACGGAACTGAGCTATTTAAAATTGTTCGATGATTGAGCAGTGACTATTCTCATGTTTGCTTGGTGGTTTATTGTTGATAGAATTTTATTGATTAATTCCCCTACTATTTAACGATCCATCAACCTATATCAATGACCGAAACTCTCCAATTTAAACAATTTTATGGAATTTTTTCATGTACTAGTCAGCGTTTTGCTTCGATCTAATTTATTCGATTCCTATAGCTATCGATCAGCGTAACAGTTTATCATCATATGCTTTTCCCAATTTTTTTCATTATTTAGACTGTTAGAACTGGTATTCGATTACAATGGACCAACGATTGTCTTTCTCAAAGCTAAAGAATTTTTATTCTGTTTATTGTCTGATCAAGGTTTAAAGTAAGATATTCATAAGTGTAATTTACCTTAAATTTCTCTGAACATTACTTGAATTTCTTTGTAAATATTTGTTACGTAATATACTAACTGGTTTCAGTGTTAGTTATTTTTATTTATGACGTTAAATGCTAAGCAGTGTGAATATACCGCCATTTTTATACGTATACTTGCTATTTGTCAATATTAACATTGGCAAATTATTGATATATCTTCCTTAATATTTACCTATTTCAGCTCTAGCACAAGGCCTTTACTTCTCCTTGTGCTTCTCAAGAGAATGACTTCTTATATTATCTTATCGAGTAGTTCAGTCAATTCTCGTTATTAATTCAGAATTTTTTAATAGAGAAAGTGGTTCCAAGTTTAGACTATAATTTGAGTGAGTATATATATATATATATATATATATATATATATATATATATATACCACTATACCACTCTCAGTGAAGTTAGCAATACCCATTCATTTTTATAAAGTTTGGTTTAAACACATTTTCCCAAAATAAAAATCATATATTTTCGAAACATCCCAGGAACACAAATTCTAAAATAAGATTTTAAATAATGCAGTCATTATTATTTCACATACATTTCTTTGGTTTCACACTTCCAAAAGAAACTGATGAAGATTATTTATGGAAACACATGTTATTCAGTCAGAATTGTTTAATCGAAATCCATTGTTTTCCATCAAAAACAGTTTTTAAGCCAATAACACTCTGAAGTAACTATTTCCGAGATTATTTTAAAATGTTATTTAAATATATGAAAAAGGATTCCCGTCTAATTAATTACATCAAATTCTGATTGTAAATTTGCAGCAAATAATGAATGTAGCTAATGGTTTCTATGCAGCTTAATAAACTTAGATAATTTACAAAGTGGTTTTCTTTCTCTTTTCTGTTATATAGAGAATCATTAAAAACGTTTGGCAAAGAGTATTCATTTCTCTATCAGATTCAACCGAAATTTATTCGACTTGTATGTAAGTGTATGTACATTTTCCAATAATTTTTATCTTGCTGAAATTCATAATACTTCGCTAGGTTAATTGATCGGTTTGACGAAATTAAATTGAAGCACACTTGGAATTCTTCAATAGCAAACAGAATATTCAGCAAGTATTCGACTTAATCGTGTTTATTTACCTGTTACAACCCGAGTAGTTTCTTTTGCTAGAACACGTGTATACCGTGAAAACTTGGTAATTTCTAACCGATTTACCATAGATCATAATCAACAACTAGTAGTTTTGGAGCACTGGACATCTATATCGTTTTAATTTTTGAAACGTGAACTATCAGATTTTCATTCAGTATTATAAAGATAATACGCTCGCCACTAGTCCTAAATATTATAGTTTCGATCTCTGGCGAAGATATAGATGCACTTTGGTGGAGTTTTGTTTTTTGAGCTGGATGGTTTGGTCGTGGAGCTTTCGTCATCATCATCATCCACCTGAGCTACAAATCTTCTCCGCCATCTCATATACATGCACGTTTACGATCCTCATATAAGGGTGATACATTTTTTAAGCCCTTTGCGTTCTCATTGGTGGTCCATCAGTTTGTGACGTAAACTATTCCCAATTAAAATGAGTAATTTAAAATATGGATCACAATGAATGGAATGAATAAATATCAACTAATAACAACCATTTCGCTTCATTTTAAGTGCGATTCTCAACTAATTATGTTGCTATGCTCAAAGCGAAATTCCAGGTTTTTTCCATCAAAGACCCTATGATGTTAACAAATAAAAGCAGCTATTTCTCCTGGCCAATTAACTGAAAGTTAATAAAGCCTTAGAATCAATGTTACCGCTTATGCAGTTTCGTTATCACAAGACCACCCATTATTATTTAACAAGCAACTTTTCAGGAAATGATTATTTTCACTTCAATACATTCGAAAGAGGATTACTTCAGTACAGGTGGATTGTCCAAAATTTATAAGTTATTTGACATCAACTAACATACATTTTCTAGGTTATCGTCTTATCAAATACTCACACAGACTAGCTTCATGAGGGAACTCTCGGAGTTCTGGTGAGAAGCCGTGACCAGTGGAGATAATCTGTATCGAGTAGAGACAGGTGTCTACCTCAGTACAATGGAAGATGGTCGCGCAATTCCGTGGATTGGTTGAGATTAGACACTAACACCGTTGGATGCCAACTCCGTGGTCTAGAGGTTAAGTGTTCGCGCGCGAGAATGAAGGCCATGAGTTCGAATTCCGCGAGCGGGATCGTGGATGCGCACTGCTGAGGAGTCCCACAATAGGGCGAAACGGCCTTCCAGTGCTTCCAGGTTTTCAATGGTGGTTTAACATCAATCAGTTCATGATCTAACTTCACTATTTCTCCATTTCCTTAAATTCATTATCCATCCATTCTTTACGATGCAACAAGACTTACATGATCTAATTGTCATGACTTGTTACCCCATTAATTTATCACGTGATAAGATAATAGACACCGACATATACGACCAGACCAATAACACATAAACGGTTGTTATTGGCCCTCCGAGATAGTAACTTCTCCCTTAACTCATCCAGTTCAGTCCAGAACGCCAAAATCAGCCTCCGCTATACGAATCATATATTTCAGGCATACTTGGTTTATATACATACAAACCAGATAGCATCTGTTGTGTCTTGTGGACTGCAGATTAGATGCGCAGCGTATTATCGATCGAGTCAATGACACGTAAACACGCAAGAGACAACCTAGAGTCCTGATTGGCCCTGCTTCCCCGTCTGGCCCAGCCAGTTGAGTCCAGAACACAAGTCGCAGCCTCTGAGATATGAATCATTATATTTCAGACATAATCTGTTTATATACCAATCAAACAAACCACATCGTACCATAAAATAGTAAACAACATTTGTACATTATTTAACAAGTGAAATAAATATCGACCAATAGGGAATGTCCATTTAAAGTCCAAGGACACCATTAGACTTAACATGATAATTATTGGTATCTTTTTCTGTATATCCTAACAGCATCATACCATAAAATAGAAAATAACAGTTACACAAGGTCAAGTCAAAGTGGCTGTGTTTGTGAGAGGCTGTGATTAATAGATTGAGAATAGTAAATCATATAACAGTAACCGATAGGTCGAATGAAAGATAATAATAAAAGGAATATAAATATACAAATAATATAGTTACTTAGTAGTTATGCAATAAGAATATACGTAATAATCCATAAATAATTCCTAACAGTTACCATTCGCTTGTTTAATTGACTTTGAGTGACAGGTATCTGTTCTGATGTATTTTCATTAAAATCAAGTATTATCTAAAAATAGCTGAGATACAGTTTATTAGGAATTCAAGCTGATGATCACGTAAGTATTACTGACTGTGAAAATGGTAAATTGTTTTTATCTTCATTTGATGTTCCGTATAAATATTCCCGTCTTTTATTTATCTCCTGCTTTTTCCCTCTCTGTATCGACCATTACTTTTTCTTTCCTATATTTTAAAAGCTGGTAAATTAGGCACAGACTCGGGGATATTTTATGCAAATTTTACTTCGAAAACGTCAAAACGTGGTCTTTTTGTGGGGCACCAACCACTGATATCGCCTGTAATTGAAATAAATGAAGATTTTACTGAGTTGAAATATAATTCTGGTCTACCAATACGTTTAAATGCAATTGAAGTTTGGGCAGCTGGTTCTAGTGATCACATGTCTAAATTAGAAGATCAAAAGAAATGGGAATCTGGTCAGGTATCCTATTTTAGCCGAGCGTGTTAGCTATATGGACCATTTACATACATAATATAACACTTTAGATAATAGGACAGAGACCGTTAAGCTAACTTGTTAAATAGTAATGATAAAGGAATAGCATTGACCACAATTGTCATGGCTTAAGATTTTGAGTTTGCTATGAACATGTTCAAGTTGTTAAATAGTTAAATTAAGTGCTGATTGATGCGGTGTGGTCAGTGGATAATTGGCCACAAATACCTACTATTAACCCGAGCTTTCAAATGAACTGATATTAGATGACAACACAACTGACCAATAGACAAGTTTTTCAACGAAACGACACTTAAAGGGAAGATATTAACACAAACATAAATTTGATTCGAAACATTGTAAAATATGGGTTATATCGATACTTGAGCTAATCCAACTTGTGAGTGATTATACAAGTATGGTGTAGAAAGTAATTAGCTCCCGAATGCACTGGTATGGCTGAGAGTGGGGTGGGCCCACCCGCCCTCTCAAAATGCCCCCACACGGCCACGCGTATACAGCCTGTCCCAGGAAAGTCCTACTCACTGCCTTCTCGTGGCGGGGGTGTTGTTTACGAAAATGAGAGGACGAAAAGCGAATGTCCAGCGCTTTAACCGTATCCCAAACCAATGGTGCACATGGGCTCCAGTATCCTGAAGGAACAAATGGCGTATAAACCAATCGTTGGTCACCAGCTACCGTGGGACTGGATCTCTTCACGATGCTACACTGCCTTGTGGGTTAGACCTTTAGGTCAAAGGCTCGGGGTATGGCCCCCTAAGAAAACCACCTGTTTCGGTCTGGGCACCCAGGCAGTATCACAGCCCTCACACAAATCCAATGATTTATGTGGAGCATATGTATTTGGTGCCTCCTTGTACCAATATCTATGTGTTAAAATAAATAAATAAATAATAATAATAATTTCCTACAGATGTAATTCTAAACTATTCCCTAGACTGTCGAGCACAGAGTCTTAGCCAAAACAAGTAAGCTATTTGGCTGGATAAACTTTATCTGTTTCTTAAACGTAAATTAACACTATTAGTATACAAAATAAACAAATAATACAGTCTACTAAAAAGGGAAACGAGAGACAAATAACATACGGAGCAGTAACTAGAGTATAGGAAAAATGAGTCAACGAACTTAATATCGTTCATAATAAATATAAAGCTATGATTGATGAATAAGCAAAGCATAGCCATACAAGGTCAAATTAAGTTAACGTGGTGGCGGGTGTATCGTGTTTTCATTGATGGGTTCATCTATCCATCACACTTTACGTATATAAGTGATTTTACGATACTACTTAATTTGATAGATTAAAATAAAAGTGGTCATAACTGATTATTCAGTTGGCTAAGTGTAGACAGTTCAACTAGATCTCTGTAGAATCTAAACTGTACATGAATATAACTAACGTCGTGTGAAAGGAGTTAGTTATCCATTCATATATTGGCATCTTTTATTTAGATCATTTGTGTTTCAAAGAGATACAGTACTATCTACATCGTTACAAAAATCTCAGTGAATAAGAGCAACCTTCATTAATGCTTACTAACTACTATGTAAATAAATTCATTGAAATGCAAATTAGTCAATTAAGAGTAGAGTATGCAAGCTATCAAATTACTTGTTGCTTTTTTGTTACACTGCTTGTATAGTTTTACTTGAAACTTTTTGTACGTTTACTGTTTGTGGTAACATATAAATTAAGTTTACACAAATCAAAATCTCAACGTTATTGTTTCCCCAAAGTTCACATAATTAAGTCACGTCATAAAAATAAGTAAACAAAGCAACGATTTTAATTAAACAATGGAATAATTTCATTTCAACTAAATATCATCAAAGCTCCTCACTACATTTTGTGGTGCTAACTTATAATAGAGTGCAAATACAATGGTAATTATTTAGTTAACATCCCGGACTGACCTTAGTTAAATAACCATTAAAATCCAGGAAGCATTAGATAGCTGTTTCTTTCTAGTATTAGACTTTTCAACTGTGTAGATCAAGACCCCGCCCTGGACTGAATCCCGCACCTTCAGATCTCAGAGCAAGCGCTTAACATGTAGGTCGCTTAACTTATGTTCAGCCATTTGCATGTTTAACTTTAACCCGTGTTGCTCAACTACCTTACATTAATGGTGGTAAGGAAAATGAGTAATTGAATTGCTAGGTTTGAAGCAATTACGAGTTCACTTAGTCTGCGAACGGAACAAAGACTTGTGACCAAAAGACCAATGAACTAGCTATTCTGTTGCGTTCCGGAACCGATAACTAGAGAGAGAAATCAAAGTTCGGACGGGAAAGTATATTCCGCAAAAGATAACATTCCGCGTGGTCTCCCGCTGACAGAGATGCAATTACCATGTTTTCCTCAGCCGCCTATTGATCATTACCGAGTCATGATGAAGCATCTGCCTGACCAAATTATTAAATGAGTTGGTATTGGATCTCGAAATCAGATCTCAAGAGTACCAAGGGTCAACGCTGAAGACGATTTGCAGAATGGGCTCCGGTTACACCCAGAGAAATACCAGTTTTTATTGCAGTCAATAAAGTATTTGGGGTTCATTTTTGGCGCTGACGGCCGCAGACCGGATTCTAAGAACATTCGAGCTATCAAACTGATTCCCAGCCCCACTATTGTCTCGGCACTACGTTCCTTCATGAGACTTGTTACCTATTATGCAGCGTTCGTTCCTTCAATGCATGATATGCGCGCTCCATTGAATCGTCTGCTGAAGAAGAACAGCACTTGGAGCTGGACTAAAGAGTGTAATGCGACGTTTTATAAACTCAAGTCCATAACTAATTCGGAATTGTTGTTAACGCACTACAGTCCATCGATGCCGATTATCGTAGCTACAGACGCTTCCGCGTATGGCCTAGGTGCTGTTATTTCACATCAGTTTTCAGACGCGTCAGAAAAGGCTGTTATGCATGCATCCCGTACACTAACCCCGGCAGAAAAGGCATACAGTCAAATAGAAAAAGAGGCTCTTGCACTTTTGTTTGCTGTTCGACGTTTCCACAAGTTTCTGTACAGTAGGAGATTTACGCTTCTCACAGATCACAATCCTCTGCTCGCAATATTCGGGTCCAAATCTGGCATTCCAGCCCATTCTGCAAATCGTCTTCAGCGATGACCCTTGGTACTCTTGAGGTCTGATTTCGAGATCCAATATCGACGCACTTAACAATTCAGTCAGGCAGATGCTTCGTCACAACTCGATAATGATCAATTGGCGGCTGAGGAAAACATGGTAATTGCATCTCTGTCAGCGAGAGACCACGCAGAATGTTATCTGACAACCGCAATACGGGTATTGCCGGTGTCTGCAACAGACATCTGAAACGCATCCAGGAACGACCCAATCATCAAGATAGCGATGAACTATGTCACCAACAGTTGGTCGTCTAAAATGTTTGATGGGAACATGAGACCGTTGTATAAGCGGCGAGATTCACTATGCATTGTAAACGACTGCTTGGTGTTTGGAGAAAGAATGGTTGTGCCGGAGCCCCTTCGCGCAAAAGTGCTGAAGTAAAATGACAAAACTAGGACCTTTTTCAAGTGAGTTCTGGGGATCTAACGTCCCCAACATGAATGAAGTAGAGAGTGATGTAATAATTTAAAAGGAGAAATGAAATTATTAAGTAAACAATGGGAGTTTTTATATTTCCATAAAAAACAACGGCTTTTGTTCATTGAATATGATTCAGAGTATATACAATTTCCGTCTTTTTTGTAGTAAAAATGACTTTCAAATATACTATTTCTGTTCGAAAAGTTGCATTTCGATGGAATTACTATGTTGAAAGTTGAACCCTACAACCTGATGATAGGTTTAATATGTAACTCGATAACTAACTTGCATTACCTTATTTTAGACTCAATATCTGATATCATTTGTTTGATTGCGAAAAATAGTGTTCTTAATTATCTCGGTACAGTTGTCTTAAACATATATTTGATGTGCAAAGTACTGGAACTGTCGAATAATTACAGCGAATCCAACTAGTCTTTGTCAGGAGAATAATTAATATGTTTGCTGTAGTAAATGTCATCCTCACTAGCATGTTATGAAATATTACTGAACTCCAGTTTCAAGAATATAAATGTCGTAGAAACTGTTATCAATTTAGTATTTATATGTTTCACAGTTAAATGCTTTGTCATAAATTTCGTCCGTTACCAAAGCTTTTATAATTTTGAAAGATTACAAATTAAATTTTCTTGTTGATATCTGTATAAAAGACTGTAATGAATATGCATTGAATATGTCACTTTTTATTAGGTTGGATTAACCACTCTGTACAATTTATTTCCTAACTTTACGTAACATTCTTCTATAAACTACAGCTCACTGGACCAGTGATATTTAACATAAACAGAAATAAATAAAACAAAATCTGCGATTTATTTCATTTAAAGACTCTAATAATGTATTGCTTTTTGAGTTGATCTCATTATTAACAATTAAATCTGCTTTCTCTTGTATTGTGAATTGGAGATATTTTTACAAAATCTAGCATCAATGTAATCAACTTCATTCTGTGTATATAAATAGCAGATGATAATTGTGGTATAAAAAGAATCTGAGTCACTGTTTGTTTTCCAAATTACCAATCAAATATTTTACTGGGCGACTGAGATAAAATAAAAACATTTATTGAAGGAGATATAAATTAGAAGCTATCAAGTTTTCACCCCAATCCTCAGAATATATTTACGTTTTAATATTGTTAAAGTATATAGTATAAAAATTCATACGTCACATACTGTCATTGAAATCCTAGACAATGTGATATGTCATAGATTTACAAGCTATACAGTTCATTATTTCTGTTTATGATATATTTTAGTTGTTAACATTAAATCTTCAGTAATTAAGGCATTATTTATAACCTTTGTTTTCCGTTAGGTTGCTAAAGCGAAAGAACGGAAGTTGAAAAATGAAACATGGCAAGATTCTGCTGATCGTTTCCTACTAGAATTAGATGGGAAGCGAGTACGTCATTCTGATGGGATTGAACCACCTTGAACACTATTTGAATTCACTCTAATTTCCGAGTATACTTCTCACCGAAATGCATAATAATAATAATAATAGGTGAAACTAATTCGCCGACTTTTCAAAAGACCAATTCTTTTGATGTAATTACTTTTTAAACTTTCATTCTCGCACCAAGAATCTCTTTTTTGCCATGGGCCTTAAATATCATTTTTCATCATTTGCTTTCGGGAATATTTTCTGTTATGTTGTAAAACCACTTCACATTTTACTATTCTTATCTTATCTATTTAAGTTTACAAAATTCTTCAGTCACCATCGTTTCTTCTTGTAAACAATAGATCAGTAGCAACAGTGATTATTGTTACTATTATTCGTTCATATATTTCTATGTAAATGTACAGAATAAGTAGACCATTCATGATAACTTCCTTTTTTTTACTAAATCTGCTGATTCTGGCTGAGTACAATGAGATAGAGGAAATCTCATTATTTATAGATTTTGAGTGGTTAAGAGGATATTCTCACAAAACCGTAAACCTAGATCTACCACTAGATTGTAGTTATCAGCAAAGCATATATACAATCTTGAGGGTAACAGGCACCAACCAGTGTCAGTTAGAGGTGGTAATTAGTCTTTGGAACCGAGAACTTTACACTGATTGGTAACTTAGTGGTAAACACATTGATTACTACTCAGTGTTGTCTTTATCTGACTATGCTTGTGTATCATAAGATGTTTATGTCAGTATTTTAGTTCACCATACAGGTTATTACTATAATATTTAGTTATTACAGTGAATAACTAATCTATTCTAGTTTAGTAACATGTTATCGAACTATATCTAGTGAAAATAACATTTTTCAAACTTAGTGAAAGCGTCACTGGAAAATTTATCAAACAAAATCTTCATATCACTAAAGCTAATAATAAGTCATATTCTGCAAAGAAAGCTAGAGTATATATTCCGAATGTTACAAAGTCTGATTGGTAATACATTTGTCTCGAAAATTTGCATATTGTTCTATCCGAGTATCCCACTTTAAGTAATGAGTCCCCTCATAACACCAAAGTGGTTTTATTCCCCCACGAATCACGATTCAGTGAATGTCGTCATTTTTAGCGAACTTGTGTAACTCTGTGCATCACTTACGGGATGAACAGTCCCCGAATTCGACAAGTCAATTTCTAGTTGTTGTGACTTTATGGGCCGCTTGTTATCACGTAATCTGTTCGCCAATCAAAATACGGCTTATTCGCCCTTATACTGTACTAAACCAATGACGTTCAACCGGTCTGATCAGCCTAGCGTTCTATTGGTCCGTTGCTAACCTAGCCCGTCCAGAATGCCAGTAACAGCCTCCACTATGCGAATCATTTATTTCAGACATACTAAGTTTATGTAACAAACAAACCGCAACGTATCATAAAATAGGAAATAACACTCGTACAAAATATAGCCAAAAGTGGCTGTGAATGTGGGAGACAGTAATTAATAAACTGAGTATAACTTAGGAACAGTAAATCGTACAATAATAATCTCTAGGTCAAAATGAAGCTTATAATAAGGGAAATATAGATACATACAATCTAGTTACTGAATAATTATACCGTTAGTAGGTCTCAGACGTTACTGGAAGTTCAATCTTCGCTAGGATATGATAATCGCATCCTTTCTCAGCTTTCGGTCAGCTAGTTGGCGTATGCTTACATTTGATTGGACACATTACAAATAGATAACCCACTGTTCCTATCATTAAGTGATCGTTTGCTTGAGTAGACAAGTAACTTGTCATATTCTAACAAATTCACGCCAATGGTGGACACTAAAATGTCTACAATAGCGGAAATCAAATGTGTACTCTTAATTTGATCAACGATAGGACAAGTAAGCTTTTTCCCGTTTGTAGTGATGTTTTAGAGAAATTAGTGCTTTGCTATCGATTATTTTCAGTGATATAAAAGATTAATCCACAGCACCATTGTCTCTTAGATGATTTTATCAAGTAAGGTGATTACTGAAGCAACAAGCGAGCGAAAAGAAATCAAACGGTTTATACGAGTTCGTAATAAATATACTGAATATTAGATTCAGTGATTTTTGTTTCGTTCTCAGCCTATAAAAATGATCAAATTTGTCTTAGAACTCTAAATAACGTGTCAGTTCCAAAAATCTTCAGGCTGAAAATGTTCGATAGTGTCTTCTGAAAGCAAAATAACTTTGACGGTCATATAGAAGCGTCATGAATGCGTTGAACATTTCTTCTTTTTGCATACTAGATATCGAAGCACCATATTTGTGAAGATGTTAGTTCCTTTCAGAGTTTGTATGAACTGCATTATTTCAGGGATTCCTAGTTCGTATAATAATTCAAATACTTCTAATTATCACAATAACTATAGAGGATCATATTCATGAAACTTCGGTTTTTTCTCTATACATGATTGTACCGATCGACATTCAAATATTCCGTCTGAACGCAGAAGACAACTCAACGAAGTAATAATTAGTCTTGGTTATCCCAAACCACTGCGTTCTTACGTAAATGTTACGAAACTTTTCTGAGTCATCTTTCTGAAGTTCAAGAGCAGAAAAACAGAACATTTTGAAGAACTCTTGAATAGAATAAAATCGCTAAGTTCACAGGACATCAAAGCAGTGCACATCATAAGACCATTTTTGTTTGGTTTTGCGAATATTTGCTTCAGTCTTCACGTGTTGATTTTCGCGTGAAGATAACTCGTTATCTCTACTTAAGTGCAAAGTTAGAACTTTTTATGTCTCGCAAAATCCAAAAATCTCAGTAACACAAATAGGCGTGAACCGGAAGAAAGACTGTGACGCAACCAGTTGTGCATATCAAGAGAAAGGTTGTTATATACTCCAGATTCTGTTTAGCATCGTAAAACAATGCACAAAGCAATGTATACTAGTGGTACTAAATAGATAAGTATTGCTCCAAATAGAATAATCTCTTCAGCAGGTACAACAAACGTCATAATAGCAAACTTGTGAGATCAAGTATAAATTGATTTAAATCTAAAAGGTTCCTGTCAACCCCGAAATAATTTCACGTCTACGGAAGTGAAATTACCACTAATAAAATAGCTCCATTTGTAGAATTCAACTACTTAAGATAATAAAATTTCCCAATAACTAGGAAATCGAATATCTATCCCATCGGGGATAGACTAATACAATTGGGTCGATCAGAAGGACCGTTGTGGTGGACCAAAAGGTATATTAACCGAAAAACGGCAATAAAATTATTACGTCCAAAATTTAATGTAGCGATAAACAACGCATAGGATAACAACACAAATAAAAGTTTAGTGGCATTACTTAAATATAATGTTTCGAATTATTTGAATTATAGCACGAACTAAGAGTCACAGAAATAACGCAATTGAATTAAGAAGTAAGACACAAGCACAAACGAATGTACAGTATTTGGAATTCAAAATCGTGCAATCAATAATTACAAAAGTATCATTAGTTCATTCAAACACCACATTAAATCAGAAGGTTGGCGCGTGTCTCGTTGATTTTGGTACCAGAATTCACAATTGTAGGTAAATAATAATTCCAATGAGACGATATGGCTCCAGTAGTATATCCAAACGTAGAATGTAATGTGAATGTTACAACGTTCTATAAATATAAATGATAGTTAATTAATTGTTCCGTTATCATATCCATAAACATGAAAGAACGAGAGACGTATGTATAAAAGTGTATTTAATTACGAGCAGTTAACAATGTCATGCTATGTGGGATTCATAAACGGAAGGGAGGATGTAGTTATCCAAGGTTATATACTAAAACAACAAGTGCAACAGGTTTATTAAGTCTACCTCCACACCGTCACTGACCACCCGAATTTAAAATATTCGGCAAAATAACAGTGAATCAATGGTTGGAACTCTAACGACATCCATTAGTTGGACACACTTCAGAAATTATGAACAATGTGTTAACAAATGATGTGAATAAACCAAAAAAAGACATGCGTAGATACAGTGAACGACGAAAGAACGATACATATGTAGTTACCTTATTTTATCAAGAGAACTCGATTAGTTTAATGGAAAAAATTTATATTATAACCAATTGTACCCGTGATTGTTTACTATACTTTTTTGTTTAACTGTGCTTAAGACATCCATTATTCTCCTCTCTGACTCGGCTGCTTGGTATGGAACGCACATGCACTACCGCCCAACATCAAATGGTTTAGTTGAACGGTTTCATCGTCAACTTAGAAGTGATCTTTGAACACACGAAAACGACAGTGGGTACGAAACCTTACCGCTCGTCCTCTTAGGCATCAGAACGAGCTTGAAGGCAGATATCCAGTGTTCCGCCGCTAAACTTGTATACGGCACAACATTGCGTCTGCGTGGGGAGTTCTTCACACCACGGAGCAGCAATAATTTCGATAAATCAGACTACGTCCATCGACTGTCTGTATTTGTGCGAACACTGCCTCCGGTGTCAAGTCGTATACAACATCGACGGGTCGCTCTCTCGAGAGAGTTATTTACCTGTTTATATGTTTTGATACGAGTAGATTCGGTACGCAAACCTCTGCAACAGCCTGACGAAGGACCTTTTCACGTGATTTCTCGTCACGAATAGACGTTCAAGTTTGATCGACATGGTCGTGTCGAGATCGTCGGCACTGGTCGTTCCAAACCAGCACACCTCGATGACAGTGCCCTACTCGATAACTTGAGACCTAATGCTAGACCAATCAAACCTACTAGCGGCATATGTACATCTACTTAAGATCCCACGCTAGATACGTCAGAGACCTCAATCTCACGTCCAGATCAGCAGACCACGCCACTCTTGACTTCTAATGAGATTGCAGGCTCACGAAATACAAACGAGACAACCATCTCACGTTCCGGTCGCCCAGTACGCCCACCTATACGCTTTCGCTGCTGACCTCACAATGAACAACGGATACTGTGTAGGACTATACCTATACTACATGCATGCGGTACTTTTTCTCTTTTTTTTATCCCGAGCCCACGCCTCCGACCATCACCCGTATGGTATCATCGACTTTAGTCAACCTTGGCGAAAGCTGGTATGGTCACCAACGCTCTTGTCAATGCAATCAGTCGATGTTCTGGTTCCGAATATGTTCGGCATATTTCTGGTCGCGCGCTTGGTTGCTATGGTCGTTTCTGGTTCCTTGTCTCAACGTGGTTCTGTCATACATCTGCAGCGTTTTCTGATCCGCACCACTTCGAACGCAATCCTCAGATCGTGGATACAAACCACTCTGCTATGGTACGCTAACTGCAGCAACAAATACAGTACACTTCTCCTGGTATCGTTCTCCGCAAAAGACTATTGGTGGCAACTCGAGGATCAACGATCGTTTACTTTTCTGCCAACCCTACAATCCCAC